GTTAACGAAAATGTTTTTTCACTTCTAGTTTTCGTTATTTCGTTAGTTTTCGTTAACGATAATAACCTTGGTAAGAGCAGCCTCGCACTCTCACGTCCCTGATTAATGACGGGGCTGTTCCCAAACAATGAAAACACACGGACACGTCAGATTGTGATCACATGTGCACACCTCACACTCACACGCAGGAAGCTATCACGCTCACGCCTCTTTGTGCTTTTCATCAGGTCTGTTATTCAGCTCAGACCGCACACCTGTTGATTGGTTCGGATCGAGCTCCGATCATGTTCATGAACGAACCGCTCTGCAGCGCTGGGGGGAAAATTACACACAAAGTAGAAGCAGTAACGCATGCATGGGTGTGACTCAAAAACACGTGCTGATCTACACTAGGAAGCTGGTAGTGCAAATCAGGGCGGCGAGCAAAAAGAGAACAAGTGAGAGGGAGCTTTGATTGGCCCAGGTGTAGCTCACACATCCAGTTACTTCAATCAGCTCCTGCAGAACAAACCACAACACAAAATCCAAACTAGAGACACACAGTGCCCGGGGGGCATCACAACGCTAGCCCAGAGTCAGGGTAAGGATCTCAGTAGCTCAGAGTGGTTAAGAGGGGGCTGTTCCTTCGCTCTGGCAGGAATCAGCTGAGATGGTTAATCAGACCGAGACACGACCTAAAGACCGCCACGGTCACATGTTACAGTCACAGTGCAGGAAGCAGCGGTTGACCACAGCACGCCCAGATGAATGCAACTGACTGCAGTCAACCTTTGATCTTTGTTGTCTTTGGTTGCTTCGAAGTCGGAGATCAGGGCTACGAGCGCTCTCGGCCAGGCACCGGTGCATCGACATGGTGATGATCACTCTGACTTTAAAGATGCACAGTAACAGGAAACGCGGCCATTACATCATCATTTCAGCGGCGCAGTCACCACATACCTAAAAACTCTCTGCTGGCCATGTTTCTCCATGAAACGTGTTCTTTTACTGCACCTGTCCTGAAAGCGTGGACGTGGAGAAGGACGCGTGGATCGCTCGCTTAGTGCAAAAACACACAGATGTTCGAGCCTGTAAATAAGACGCCTGCTTCAACAAATGAAGAGAAATGAAACGGCAGTTCCATAAATACACTGTTGGAGCTGCATCAAGAACAAATCAGGTCTCTCTCGTGGAGCGTGGCTGAACTTTCAACATTTAGTGCGATGAAATTCTGCCAGCTGGCAAACAAGCACGGGCAGAAATATCAGAGATATCAGTGCTGCAGATGTTTTCAAGACCAGCTGCGTACAAGAATACGATGTTAGAACTCTGACAATAAAGTGACT